AGCTAGATTGCAGCTGTTGACCCAACATTTTATCCAGAAAAAAATGCAGATATTAGGAGATGACTGGATTAGATGTGACTAACTTCTAATGCTTCTCTGGCTCAGTGTTTCTCTGTGAGAATGGAGGCTTTTCTCCAGGAACTAAATTTTGAGAGGTTCAGCTCAGAAATGCATTCTGACATTATCTGTCCACCAGCCAGATACTTTTCTGTCCTAACAGCAGTCATGGCACATGTACAGATTTGAACTTCTGGCCTTGAAAATGGAGACATAGACATCCAAGCTTGCTGGTACACCTTCAGTTTATTCTCCTGCACTCAGAGGAAATCTAACCTTGAAGTTAGCTTTGCTTTGAGCAAGAGACTGGGCTAGAATCTGAGAACTTCTGACCCCTTCCAGTCTAAATTATGTCACCACTCTGAGACAGTACCAAGCCACAGAAAAGGAGAGTGTTAGGAAGTGAATACAGATTTGATCCATGCACGTTGGTTAAGTTATTGTTCTATTTTTGGGTAATAGCCTGCATATCAATTTGTAATTCATGTGGATTAATGCATGGCATCAGCCTTGGATGGATCTCATCCCTTTGCTCAAATAGTCTGACTTCTGCTCATTTCAACACAGCATTATTTTGGAGAGCTTCAGCTGGATGCAAATGGGGGTCAAGATGGGTAATCTGCAGCCTTAGTAGTGAAAACATCTGCAAATGAAACCCCCAGTGCTCAAGCTTTGTCAGTAGGGTATGTTCTAATTAATCAGATCAGTTGAGGGCCATATCTTCCTGATATTGACAGCTTCGCAATCCAGGAGGTTTGAACTCAAGAACAGAAAATGAATGAGTTAAATCCCTGTACATATTGAAATTGAAAGTCATTCTTTTTCTTTCATCTGGTTAGATGCGGCTCTGCAGCAAGGCTGGCCACACCATGACTGCACCAAGCCTAGTATTGTCAGTATATTGGCCTTGGAGGTATACATACTACAGCACATAAACTCATAGTTTTTTTGTGTGTAGAAGAGCAATGTGAGAAGAGCTCATCTTATTTTATTTCACCTAAGCAGAGTAATGACCAGTGAAAATATGTCATGTTTTGCAAAACCCCAAAGGAAAGATCCTTAAACTGAACAGAGTAAAAGGGCATTTTAGTTATATACCTCCAATATATCAATGGATTAGAAGAGGATTGCAGGGTGCCTACAATCAACTGCTGATACTCTCAGTTCAGTGCAAAGCAGACTCTGTGGAGGAATGCTGGCTCTCTTGAAAAATGGAACCTGTGGACAAGTGAGTTGAGGAGAAGACACTTTTCCTGCTGGGCCCTGGTTAGTACATTAATTGTTAGAAGTTCATCCATCCTGTTATAGCTCTCACCTGTGTGCATGAGGTCAAAGAGGTTGATGAGACAGTTAAAGACTTACCTTGGACATCAAGTTTGAGATAGCAAAGTTGAAAAACATTGGGAGATGAGTATGCCTGCAGTTATGTGTGCATGTGTGCACACTTGTGCCATTTCTCCCAATATACCTCCCTTCCGCTTTCTTAATCATGCCAAAAATTAAATTATCCTATACCATCTTTTAGGCAATTTGGAGAGACAAACTGGTAATCCAAAAAGAAAACAAAACAAAAAACCCAACAACTTGCTGTTTCAAGGCAAAAGATGATTCGGTAAATCTTCGCACTTCTTGCGCAAGGAACTTTGGAAGTAGTCAGTTCAGATAGATGTTATATTATTGAGAACTTCTTCTGAAACGTTAGCATTGACAGTCTCCAGGTATACATGAGCCCTGTCAGCAGGAGTAATAATCTGGCTGCATAAAGCAGTATCAGATAACTGATATTTTGTTTTTGAGGAGGGTGTGCTACAATATTAGCACTTTCTTCACAGAATGGGTCTTGAAGAGGTGAAAATGTGAAAGAAAAAAAAAAAACATTTGTGAGGAGTCTTCTGATTGTTAAAAAGTGAAATGGAATTAAGCAGTCACTTGACTCAAAGGATCTCTCTTGAAACTGGCAAAGTTATTACTTTCTTTTCACTGAATGTGGTTGACAAATCTGATGCGATGTTGCAGTAGAGTTGTTTCGTCTGAAAACTGTGGACTGATTGAACTAAAATTATCTAGTGTTGTGCAGTCAAAGTCTTACACTTCAGTTTACCCTGATAACAAAGAATCCTTTCAGATGAGATGTAGTGTATTCAACTACATATGCCTGTATTTTGCATCACTCCCAAAGTATTCATGATAAAAAACAGAATCTCTTCAGCAAGGATTTGATAACACTTTCCATCTGGTTATGAACTTTTCCTAAATGTTAGTGGGTATTTTTTTTCCTCAGTTTAAGCACCAGCTTAATTATTTTTTAAAATTATTTTAATGGAGAATTGATTCTTCTGAAGAAGTGCAAATCCCACCATGGATGCCTCTTAATTTAAACCAGGTGTCTATGGTTTAGCTTACACCTACAATTAACATAATAACAAATCTACCAATATGATTTCTAGAAATACCCATTTCAGTAGCTGAAATGAGTCTGCTATTTTATGTCAATAAACTCTTTATTCAGACCAGTGCAGCACTCTTCAGTCAGGCCCTATATATTAGCTTCTTTCTTTAAAGGGCATCAAAGCTTTAAAATAGATGAATGTTATCAACCAAAGGTTTTCTGTTAAATAAAGATGATTTGACTGATACTCTGATTTCATTCATTCATTTTACACTGACTTCTATTGCAGACATTCTTTACAACCATCTTGCTATGATGCTGGTGGTGGTGATCTGCCTTACACACAAGTATGAATTAGCAAATGTTCTTACTTGACTACACCTGACCTTTGTGTCAGGATCCCAGCTGCCTAAAAGTATTCTGCCTTGACAGGGAAGGCTAATTTCTGGTAGAATACTGACCTAAACTTGTCTTTGCTGTATTCTTCACAGACATTACTGTTTTTCTGGAGCAACACCAGGAAGAATAAAAAGAGCCTCACTGGCTCTAGCTAAAATGACAGAAAGTTTTTTTTCTACAGGCAATCCTCAGCTTACCACCAGATCTTTCCCCTCATTCCGGGATCAGGCAGCTCCTTCGTTGCGGTATATATTAGCACAGTAGGGATGCTCTGCCCTGGGACGGCACAGATGATGCATGGTTCATGCTCTGTGTTAAGGTGAAGTCTGTACAATTGATTCCTGTAGCCTGTTGATTAATAGTAGATGTAGGAAGCAATCATTAAGACTTCCTTAAGATCCCGTGGATGCTGTTAACCATTTCAGGTCTCTGCCAAGTTCTAGAAGCTATCTAGGATACAGAGAGACGTTAGCTCTGTGAAATGATCTGTACAAACAGAATTCTGCACATAGTTTTGCTGGGCCTAGCCTAAATGCTAGATCTGTATCTCCTAAAAACTGTATGTACTTCTAGTTCCCTCCTTTTTCCCTTCTGTGTGATCATATCTCCCAGTCTCTCCCTTGTCGCTACAATTCTAGGCAAGGAAACAGCCAGCTCGCAGTCACTGCCAGCTCTAGCTGAAGAGTGGAAGAGCCAGAGCTGACTACACTTATACTAGCTGCAAGCATAAACATGCTCCATCCTTGCCTTTGAGAAACCAAGAGTCTGCCCGCAGATGAGGTAGATGGCTGCTGCCAGAAGGGCACATAGACTTTGTTGTCCTCCTTGAACCTTGTGACTCATAGTGGAAACATGCCCTACATATACAATGTTTTCAACTGTGGAACCTAAAGGAATTTTGTATTTCACAAGAGTGCTCAGCATTTTGTGGGAACAAACTATAAACGAGTGTAGGGATTTGTTATGCATACAGTTTAAATGTAGTATAAATTGGCTTGGCCTCATCAACATGTTTTAATAAGGGAATCTTGAACTCTCCAAGAAAAAAAAAAAAAGATATAATTCAGATGACCTTGGGAAATATGCCTTTATATTAAATTGGAAAAATTTCTGGATTTCACATTATTATTTCCTATAATAATTAAATCAAGTTAGTATAATAAACATCATCGGTTGTGTCTTTTTTTTCTTTGAAAGCTACCTAGTACTTTAATATTCTATTTGATGGTGAATTAATATTGACTTGCATGGTTACTACCTGTTAATATAGGTAAATACCTTGCTTAATGTATACACCAGGAAAATATAAACAAGAGAGTTAAAATGTAATACTGATACCATTTATGAAGAATATTAGCATTTACTGATCATTCCTGCCACTGCTGCTGTTAGTTTATATTAACAACTCTTTTGTTATATGAACTCCTGAATGGTAAATTCACGAGAAGGAAGGTCACTTTACACATAACTTAATGTGATAACAATGTCTAAAAACCTATTTTAAAGAAACCATGATAGGACTCTTTTGTTTAGCAGTGTCTGTCACAACAGGAAATGACTTTCCGTAGTATGCAGTGGAATAAATAAAGGTCAGATGGTTCTTTTATCTGCATTTACTTCGCACAGTCATGCCAGTAAAACAGAATGTTTTCTATTAACATTGCTTCAGGTTTTCTGATGACAATAGCACCAAGATAAGGACCAGGTTTTGTCTAGGTGAAATCCACTCCTCCCATATAAAGCCCCATGTGAAGAATCTACAAAGAAAATGTGGAAATAAGAAGCCAAGCCACTAAAGTAATGCACTTTCAGACTGCAATCTGTACAAGCTTCTGGGCGTTGGGTACCCAGCTTCCACTGAAATACAAAGGAGGTGAGCACCTGTGATGTTAAAGCCCTTTTTGAAAATTCCAGCTTTGTCAGATATAACAGCCTACCGTTATTCACTCAGCAATAATATGTGTACATTCATATATACGAATAGTGCCTTAGGTATTCAAAATCTAGGCAAGCAAAAAGAGGGGAGACAAGAATGTAAAACAACCTTCTGAATGGGTTGCTGTCCTGTTCAGAAGACAGGCTGGGGGATTTTCCTCCCAGACCACCTGTGACCAGCACCCTTAAGTGATCTTCAGCTCAGCCAGAAAGACTGTGAGTTAATTATCATTGGCAAATCTGCTACCCCCGTGATGTTCATGTGGAAGGAAGAGCTTTACGTCAGCCTCACACACACTAGATGTTCCACCCAGCTGGAATACTGTTGGTGTTGAGGTATGTTTTCTTTGGTTATATTTTCCTGAAATTTGCAATTACAAAAAATAGAATATTTACATCATTACAAATTAAATTTCAGTGTTAGCTTTTTTTTCTGTCATAAAATGGAATATTCTTATGTGCAACAGGTAAATTATTTTCCTTGCGTATCAGATATGAAACTGTTTTCAATGCAGAGAACGATAAACCGATTACTACAGCTATATGCTTTCTGATCAAGAAGTTTCCCCGTGTCCAGCGGTGATGCTTGTCCCATAACTGCTGTATCAGCTGTATGCCAGGCTTCACAGTAGTTGCTAACCAGCCGGATCCCGTTTGCAGTTGAACCATGCCATATTACTTTTTGAGGCCTGAAAGGTAAAGTTAAGAGGTTATTTCATGCAAAAAACTCTCTTATTTTTTTTAACTGTATGTCTATATGTGTGGTGACTTTGCTCAGCTCATACCATATAAAAATCCTCTCCCACTCCCTCTCCTTCTCCTCTCCTCCTGCTTGAAACAAAAGCCAAGGAAGAAAAGAACACTACCTGATATCTCAGTTATAGGCTAGCAGAAACAGAAGAGAAAGTATAAGAGAAAGAAGTCATTTATACTATACAAATACTAAAATACTATGAAATTGCTAAAAATTAATGCCATGTGAAACCTGCAGATGGTAATGTAAACTCACCAAGATGTATCTGTCATGACATTTCTCCCATCAAATGAGTATATTGGTACATGAGGATTGAATTGTCCACCGTTCCCATTAAATATTGATTCCCAGTTACTGAAAAGTGTTTCTCCCTGTTGAAATTTCAAAGTCACTTTATAAGAAAAATGAAATCCACATCATACCTGAATTTTATAGAATTCTATAAATCAAAAATCTTATCTGCGCTTAAAATCACTTCAGACTCCAGTTTTCACATCACAGTCTCAATGCAGTGCTCCTGAACAAACTCATCTATTATATCTGTGCCAATAGCTCTTAAATATACATATTTGCCTCTGACCTTTCTATGAACAGTTATGTCTCTGCTTCATTGACTTCAGCTTAGTTCTTCAGCTTGATTCACTATTTTCGGTCTTTCTACTACCCTTCTCCTCCTAACTGTCCACACAGTTATTTGAAGATTTACTTATACGTACTCTAGCTAAAGAGAAAAATCTAAAAGTAGTTTGTAATGGAAATACAAATTGTGATGAGTTCACAATTTTATGACAAGTGCTGCAAATATCAAAAGCTTTGTGCCAAGGTACCTCTCAAATGGCTTTGGAGTTTTTCCTCCAAAATTGTTGGAACAACTTTGTCTTTACTAATTTCCCTCCAAGCATCATGCCTGCATTTCAGAGCAACCTATTGAGTGAGCTCCAAGAGTCATGTGTTGTTCACGGAGAATTCTTTGGCTGTTTGTGCTGGGAGCCAGCCAATACTACCAAGACCCGGTTTGTTTTCCTCAGTTTTAGCATGTTTATGTGAAACCACAAGATGACTCATGTTCTAGAGTCTTGCAAAAACTCTCAGTTTCATCAGGGCAAATGCGGTATCACTAATAAACATAGAATTAGAATAAGCATAAAATAGGCATTTTAGTGTACATGCTGTGGTTATACTAGAAAGTAGACAATCATATCCATCTTTGAAAAATGAAGCTGCAGTTTCCTTGTTAAGACAAAAATTTCCAGACTGCTAAACACCACACTCTTGCTATGTCAGCAGTCTGCTTTAAGTTAGCCATTCATATAGCTTTCTTTTTACCTTTAGTCTTAAGGTATTGAAAAAAGTCACTCTAGACAATACAAATGAAATGTGAGACAGTCTGCATCTTTCTATTTCAGCATTACATTTCTATCTGGACTCTGACTTGAAAATATAAAGCAAGACTTCTTAGTAAATTGCAGTTTGGATGGAAACTTCTGCTTTTGCTGTTTTCCAAGATTTCAGGGCACCTACAGTATATCTGAATAAAACAAGTAATAAGCACTCATTTTTACCTTAAGATTGACTATTGGTAAATTGTATCTGTCTGTTTTTCTCACAACTGTGGCTAGATCTTGCAAATGTGATGAGAGGAAGGCTCTATAGGTAGATGTCAAACCAGCCAGCTGTGCCTGTTGAAAGCACTGAAAATCTGCTCGCATGTCACCAGCTAAAGGCAAATTTAAAGCCACCAGATGCAGCTGAAAAAAAAAAAAAGAGAGAAAGGAACCACATTTTTTTTAAAGTTTGTAACACGAGGAAAACATTTTGGAGTAAATTATAAAAATCCCCAAGTACAATAACTAGTACATTCCATACGAGGTATAAAAGTTGCATAAAGTTATCCAGCTGACAGCAGAGATATATATTTATCTCTGAACAGTCATAAAACCATGAAAATTACATACTGCTAAAAAAAAAACTTCTATTAAAAAAAGCTAAATCCGTATCTTACAAGCATGGAAATACATAGCAAGATGAGACCATATATCATTCAAAAATTTTCTGTTGTCTAGTAGCAGGGGTAGCATGGCTAAGTCAAACAATATAAATGCAGGAATTAATCAAGAGTTTATTTTTTAAAGATGCAACTTGATTATCTTGCTTTATTTATTTAAAATATATAGAAGCATTTTAAGTCAAGGTTTAGATTCTAAAGTATCTATTTAAAAACAATCAGCATCATGAAGACAGAAAGTATTCTAATATTATATTAACAATAATACAACAAAAAATGAGTAAGAGAATAAGTACTCCAACTTTTTTTTTTTTTTTGAGTGAGAGAGGAAAAGGGTTACGATGACCACAATAGTTTGGAGGAAAACATTTAAAATTCCATTCAAGATGTCTAAACCAGTTTATGTGAAAATTACCAAAGTAAATTCTGTGACTTTGAAGAGGAAATATTATAAAACTCTCTCATAATGCAAAAATACAATGTTTCAAAACAGAGCTATTTAGTTGGGACACAGTTCTCATACTTACTGCTGGTTTTCCATTATTCATATTTGAAATTGGAGTCAATGCCGGAAGAGACTGAAATCCCTGTTATTTTAACACACACAAACAGATTAATTACATTCTTTACTCAAATCAGAATTTCAGACATTCAACAGATTTCTAAATAAAACAAACATTGAATATTAGAGAAACGGAAACTGTTCTGCCTCTGAAAAATAAACTGAAACTGCCACGTGCTATTTCTACCTACCATTAATTTAGAAAGCCACTTTAATATACGTTTGAGTACTGTCCTGAGCCAAGTTGCTCTACTAAACCTGAGCCTAAGCATTGCACAGCTAGTGTTCACGTCACATTGTGTCAGGAGCCCTGCATGGAATTTTCTGGTCAATTGCAGAAAACTGGTTCAGAAAAACTAAAACTGAAAGCATAAGGAGGATGTAGAAACAGAAAATGTGGCAAGTGGGAAGATTTCTAAAGGCCTCAGTAGTTCTTCCTCTTATGTAACTTTTTTGTAGAAACCAGAGGGCTGATGAGCTTGATAGCTGCTTCAAGAACAGCAAAGTTTTCTCATGTAGACAAGGGAAGTATGAGTAATACGACAGTGACTGTACCAGGTCTGGAAAGTCACATGATGTCAGCTGGAGGCTGCAGACAATTTCCTGCAACCTGAGGTCTAGACATCTTCCCAGCGTGTTAAGTGCCGATCTCTCTGGCCTCCTCTAACGTTTTTCTATTTCATTGTCACTAGAATTTGTCTGGCCATCTCCTTTCTCCTCACTCCTACCTAGCACTCTATTTCCTTTCAGCAGCTCAGCACTACACAGTCAGATCAATTAACTGCCACAGAGACTGTGCTCTAGTCCTTTGTCCAGTTTTTGTTTCTCATCCTCCTGGGAATTTGGGGGACAGGCAGCATACAGGTTTATACAATAACCTGCAGAATGGAGGCAGATACAGATCAAAAAAATGAGGCTGTACAATAAACTCCAACACACTGTGGGATAAACTGCATACCGATGGCAGTTATGCATCCTGACTGCAGGAATACAGGACTATAATCTTTTTAAGAAAATTTGTTTTTCAGAAGCTCTTTACTGAGTTTCCCTGAAATGGGCCAGGGCTTGATATGCCTGCCTTTGGTGTTACAAAGCAGAATTGTTTTGTTTTGTTTTATTTTATTTTATTTTATTTTGGTTTTATTTTATTTTCTAGATCCTGCTTTTTCTCTGTAGTATTCAGCATCTCAGAAGATGATGGCTATAGACGAATGGCTGGCCAGTACAACCAATTTGAAAGCTAATGTAGCAGCAGGATACTTATGCTGAACTGACAAGCCTCAGCAGAAATCATGTTGCACATAAACCTTCCTACAAGTTCCGCCCAATGTTTCTCCAGTTTTTGAACACCGAGGATAAGCTTTTCACAATCACAGTATTTTGTACCTACATGGCTTGATAAGGCTGGAGGTGGAAGGCTGTCAGCAGGGATAGGAATTAACTCACCAAGCTGAAAAAACACAAAATGAAACGCAAACAAAACTGTATTAATAGCAGCTTCTGAACTAAAAAAAAACATATATCTTTGCACACATATTTCTCCATCTCTTTAGGAATATCTGCAACAACCTCCATTTTGAGTAAGGGAAGTAAAAAATATTGGGAAACAGTGCAATAGTACCTGCAATTTTCTCCATCCATTTCGAACACGGATAAAAACCTCACTGGTTTCACTCAGATAGATTAGTGTTCCTTCTGCTACGAAATGAACTTTTTCCAACATACCCTCTACATTGCGGAACGTTGTAACCTGTTAAGTGACAAAACAAACGCAAAACCCTGCATTACAGCACCGAATACAGAGAACATTTTGCCTGATAAATTTAAGTCTTACTTGAGTAAGTTCAGAAACATCAAAGGTGTTCATGCAGGAAATGCTCATAAAGCCATTTTTACCTTATTTCATAGAGAAAGCTTTTAGAACATAAAGATCTTGCTAGCCTGGCATAACAGCATCATAATTCTGTTGATTTTACTATAGCTTTACCAACAGTTAATTTTGCAAAGAGTGAGAAGATTACATCTCTAAGGTTTGGTACACTGGGTCAAAATGGAAGAATTCAAAAGAGACTTGATAAGGCTGAGCATAGCCTACAAATATCACATCCAATTCTAGATACATTTGTGTCTGTTATGTTTTTTTTACTGTTGCTGAACTACTGTTAATTTGATTAATTCAGATATTTAATCCACTGATTTTCATGGCATATAACTACAAATCTGGCATGCAAATGAAAAATAACACCGATAACATACTGAATTCAGATGTGGTAATACCTTCTAGGCAAGCTGAAAACCTGTTTAATCCAGATGGTATTTTAGAACAGAATCTCTTTAAATTCAAGAGATTAAAGCAAAATGTTTAATACTCAAAAAGTCACCTGTTCAATAAAGACTAAATAAGTGTTATGAAATCACTTGGATTCAGTGAGCTGCCCATTTTATTTACCTAAGTGAATGCAAAAGCTGTCTTTAGCAGAGACTCTTCTCATAGAAAAGTTTAGCAGAGAGTCTTCTTATAGCAGAGAGTCCCTGGCAGTACTTGAGAAAGATGTAGATGAGGCACTTACGGACATGGTTTAACAAGCAGGGCGGTGACGGGTTTATGGTTGGACCCAATGATCCTGTAGGTCTTTTCCAAACATAATGATTCTGTGATTCTATTTTAAAACCCCATGGAAGACTGAAGATATGTTTGTTGTTGGAAGAAATGGAATTGGTGGAAAAAATAATTTTGGTCTTTTCTTTAAGGGTGTTTACTCCATGCCTATTAGGTTCCCTGTGTTTCTAGTTTATGCAGCAGGTACTTTTCAGTTTTTCTTTTATAGATTTTACAGTTAGTAAGCTGAACCCTGTTTGTCAGATGTGACTATTGAATCTATTACCTATTTTTGTCCTTTGAAGTTGAGAACACAGGTCTCTCTAAAAGGAGTTACTTTTACAGTCTAAAATTGCAGGTAGCACAAAATCAGTCGCAAATTTCTTGAGATTGCCATTTCCTGACACTTGAATTTCTTCTTTTTTTTTTTGTTTCTTGAGCATGTCAGAGAAGTCTATTGATGCTTTATAACCCATGCAGGCCCTGCTTTCAATTTACAGATTGATTTTAAAATGTTTGTTTTGACCTAAGTAAGTGGACTGGGAAGCCCTACCCAAGAAAGTATCGCCTAGACTGTAACTGCATCCCTCTACCTTGGAGCATCAGTCTTTGCTCAGCAATTTCTCCCTTAGTCCGTAACATCTGTCAGCTGAATTTCTGTGGGTAAATGTAGTTAGCAGAGATACAGCGCTATGGTGGGAAGGCATCAAAAGTAATTTAGGCTTTCATTCATGTCAAGCTGTTTTACATAATGTGAATGATCTGAAAGTCTGCTTATTTATTAGTGCATTCTAAAATGATTGCTGAGGTATACAGAGAATTTGTTCTTCTATCATAACATGAGAACAAAAATAAATTTTAAAATGGAAATGAAACTCTACTGTAAGCTTGTTATCTTTTTGTCCCTTTCCATAAATGGAGAATCTTTTATTTCGAAATTAACAACAGAAGTCTTGGGTATCTTTTCTACAGGACCAACATCTTGGGTACAACACAGATTTAAGTGGCCCAGTAATAAAAAGAAACAATTTCAGTTATGTGTACCGTCTGACACAGCAATTTAAAGCTTTACGGATTTTTAGCATTCTTAGGAAAAGTTACTTTTTTTTTCTTAAAAATAAATTATCTATCTGACCTGTTGGGTTTTAATCTTCCTATGTAAAATGTTTCTTCCACAGATCAGAGTATTCAGAATAA